TCTTTCTCAGAACCATTGTTATAAACTCATCAACGACCTTGAAACAAGTGCTTAATTTCAAGGAAGTACCGGAGCTCACCTTATGTATACCATACACGGGAGATCCGATAGTTTTCCTCCTCTCAATATCTTCTGCAGGCAGCACTGAAGCAAATCTCAAAATTTTGACACATACATCACACACTGTCAGTTTCCTATCAAATATTATGAATCCATGAATGGCAAAATAGCATTCAATACATCGAAGAACAAGAACTGAGCTTCGGTATCATTTCGAGGTACAGCACTGCTCGAAACGGAGTGATCCGCCTCTCAAAGCTCTTTCTTGTAACAAGTCTCGAGAAACAGTTGCGGCCAGTCCCGTCAGGCGCTCTTGTCAAATGGTCCATCCAAGATACGTTTTGAATTTTAATTCGAATTTAGAGAAGCTCCTCGCTGCGGATTGCAATTGTTTGTCGCTGCCTGGTGCTGCTCCCGAATCTTAGCGCGATTTCCTCGTTCCAATAGTATTCCAGGGTTTCGATATCTTCACGTTGAGCGAGAATGTACAAAATGACATGTAATCATTGAACAAAACGTAGAACATTTAAATTCTGAACCTGTCTCGTGCATCATAACTTGAGGAGCTCATCCTCGGATTTCCAAATGTCGCACCTTCCGTCCGACACGAGTTCGGCAGTCTCGCAGCAGTTTTAATTTCTTCTGCCGGTTTTTTTTATTATAGCATCTTTCATTGCACCCTTGAAGCCGTTTTCTCCCTACTGAAGGCTTTTCCGGTTGCCTTCGATCAATTTACATAGAACATCGATCCACATTGTACATTGCTTTTCACTTGGGTTGGAGAATTTTTGATTCAGACACTCGGGCATGGCATGTTTCTCACGCCTGAGTATCCGAGTCAACCGAAAAAATGTTTGACCCAAGCGAGAAACACTGTAGAACTTTGCACCTGCCTGCTTACCAGGTTCATTTCGAAAGCAAATCTTACCAGACAATTAGAGCGAAGAGGAACGTTTACGAGGCGACTTCTTCCGCCGGTGTTCCAGCTTCCAAGCTGGCTCGAAGGGTTCCCGACCTTTCTTTATATTTTATTTATTTATTTATTCGGTCCTCTTGGGGTCGGGGCCCCCTGGAAGATCTGGCGACCCCCTGCGGCCGCCGGGGACGCAGAGCTACTTCCGCTGGCCTTGGTAATTTTCTCCGAATCATTTTCTGATCTGCTACACCTCTTACACTCTCATACAAGAAGGTGACCGCTGGGATATTCTCTCCTTTCCCTCGGAACTTGCGAAGATAATTTTATTTGCAAATAGACCAGTTTTCCTTTCAGCCCATCAATTCTAATAAGCCCCTCTCTTCGATGCGAATATGCTAGAGGCATTCGAATTCCATCATTTCATCAAATACGTAGAGGCCCAAGTGTCCATATAAATTATAAACGGCGGGAGAGACGTTTTCATTTCGAGACAATTTCGCTTACATGTATTCCATTTGCGGACGCTGAGTTCGTTAGATCTCACATGTTGGTCCTTGCGGTGTTAAAAATACTGGGCGAAGAACGCAGACGTCTGTCTGTTTTGCCGATGGACCCTTCATAATGCATCTACAGGGTGTAGCGCAAGTTTCTCACTAGAAAATTGCACATTTTTAATACTCAATCAAATAATTTTTCGTCGTTGATACGGCTTCATGAACAAGCAATAGCGAAACTGAAAGCGTGGATATTGATTTTTAAGCCATCCTTATTATCGCACCGAAGAACTCATCGCCAGAAACTGGCCGAGCTGTTACCCATTGATTATATCCCGCTTGTGTTTAACCGGTTCTTTGTGTTTCACTCGGTCGGTTCAGGATTAACGGAAACAGTTTCCTGGAGTGTGTTTGAGGAAACGGTTTTCATAAACACTCGACCGTGCAACCGAGTGGAACTCCTCGAATGCGATCATGGCATCACCGTGCATCGACTGTTATCTGTGATATTTTCTTGCGATGAGTCACCGAGCACTCGACGACTTTTTGGTCTTTCTATGCTTTTATCCCTGAAGTTACATCAGTGATGCAGGGAGCCTTAGTCGTTTCTTTCTTGGAATAGTTTTGAAGGAGAAACCATTGTTTCATCCCGCAAAGAGGAAAAGTTCTATTTAGAGTGTGCGTGATGGGACACGCTCTACAGCAGGGGTCGGGACCCTTTTTGGCCATGTGAGCCAAAATTTTAAGATTGAGCTAAGTGGTTGTGATCGAAAGATTTTCATAACGACAGAAATTTTCCTGAAGTTGGCGACAGACATATGCATTCTTTGATAAATGAGAAAAATGAGGAACAACCATGATTTTCAGCCATGACTCAATGAGCCAAACTTTTCGGCTTGTGAGCCAAACTTGGCTCACGAGCCATAGGTTTCCGACCCCTGCTCTACTGTACGGGGGCGCAAGTGGGAGCTTGCTCTCCCCTTTTCTTCGTTACATCCCACGCGTTCGTTCATCAATGTGTCTTTTGTCTATCCTGCCGTCTTTCGCTATGAAAGGGTCTGAGAGTCATTAATTTGGTCTCGGTGTTTTGGAGCACCTTGCTTTTCGATACTTTGCTCTCCCAGAACGTGGGCTATGGATGAATCCCCCGATGACTTGCCTGCTGCGATTCGACCGATTCGCAGCAATGCCAACTCTTCCAGTTATCACGAGCAATTGTTGCACGTGCGATTTTCCATGTGCATGTCCTTCCATGAACAATTTCTTAGGTCTTGGCAAATACTTTGGAGAATCCTGGATTTCAGTATTCGGAAAAAGAACGGGAAGGAAAAGCAGCAGGACGCTGTACATTGATGCAATTACAACTTTTTGTTGTCAATTTTTCCCACTTCGTCCTGGGAAATAGTGACGAAAGACGTTGCATAGAGAAACTCATCACTTCCTCTAAACGACCCCTCAAAAGAAGGCAAAAATAGAACATATGAATTACCCATATGTTCTACTTTCTAAATTTGCAAACCTTTTGACCAGTATATTTTACATCCCAGAGGTTTCAGGAGGGAAAAAATGACAAAATAAGCTGAAAATACTTTTCTAATTGACTTAATTAAACAGGAAGAAATTACTTTGGCAGATTACTTGACAAAACTCAAAACTTTTCACTAAAACATACGGGACGGCCGAACCTTAAATCATTCTATGCGTCGGAATACTCCGAAGAAAAAAAAGTACCACGAAACTGGTTTAGCCGAATTGATACAACTGAAAGTCCAAAAAGAACAAAGCAAAACACTAGAAAGGTCTTTATGAATGAAAGAAGCTACCATGCACCCTTTCTGCATGCAAGAGAAAACTTGATGGAAATAATAGCATTTTGAGTTTGGCTTTTGACATGCCAATTCCAAAATGTCTCTCCGCATTGGCAAAAACAAGTTTCGATATGAGAGCAACTGTTTTGTTCTGGGAAATCCTGTGGAATTTTCCTTACAGTACTGGTTCAATGGAAAGCACCCCTGAAATAGCCTATCATTTCTGCCGAGGCACCTCAATTGCTATAATTAGTTCAGTCCCACCTCAATAATAAGTTCCGTCCTTCCTCCGAAGTAATTTCTCAACGCTGCCAATACGAAATTAATACTAGAGGCCCACAAAAGAAACGCCGTGAATGCGAGGCAAGAATACCCGTTCGGTCGCACGCGGCGCTGAAAGGCAGAGCCTTGGGCTCGAATGAGTCAACACGTCGAATTTCATCTACTTAATTCGGTACCTTCGGGACCAGGCCGGTATTTTAGGCCCCATTAAGAAATACCCCGAAGACGAGGCAAATCACCTCACTTGTTGAAATCGGGCCGCTACTTTTTCTCTGATAGCCTAAGGACTTTTCAGGTGTAAGTACTATTCAGCAACTATTCAAGTACTTTTCACTTCTCTTCGTGCAGAACTCGGCACTTGATGCTCCCGAAATACGCGTGGAGGAATCCACTCACAAATGCAAGCACTTCTCGGTACTCCTAGAAGGAAGTCAGTACTTCCGAATCCCCAAAAATCATTGTTAAGGCGAGGGAATTTCATCGTACCTGATCCGTCGATATAATTCCTTCTGAATTGGCAAAGAGTGTCACTAGGAGAGGGAACCAGTCTGTTGCAGCCGATTCAACGGAAAACATTCTCGTCTACGGATGGGGGTGGTCCGACACGATTCCGACTCCTTTTATTTGCACCTTCTAGCCTAAACTTTTGGACATGTAACAATAAAGCCCTTGAAAAGGCAGAACCCCGGAACGGGACGAGTCCATTGGCACATTATTTGCAAAATCTGCTTTAGGGCAGCGTTTCTCAACCTTTTTCACAGAGCGACCCTCATTCCCCCGGTTGAAGACTCCGCGAACCATAACGAAGGTTCTTGTCCGATAGAAAAGAACGCAGTTAGATAAATACGAACAAAAAAAAAACTTTTCTTCTTGGGTTCTGGGCCTGAGGCGACCCAAACGAAAACCCCCACATCGATCCATGATTGGGTCGTGAGATGGGATTGAGAAATCTTTTGTCAAAACGGGGTCTTCCTTTCGCACAACGAAAAGTTCAAGCAGATCCCAAACCATGTACTTTCAGACTTCCGAAAATACCGATTGTTATGGATGGGAAGTTGAACTTCTTGAAGGAGAGAAGTTGATCTGTTATGTAGTTGTGGCGTGAGTGAGATCAGAGCTTCAAATTCCTCATTCCACGATCTTAACCCCCTTGATTTTCGTCTTCCAGAGTTGGCATAACGGACTTTTTCAGTATATAAGGTTTTCAACGGATAGTCACGGTAATCGTTTCGGTAGAGCCGATTTCGAACGTCAACAAACATTCCACGTACAATCCCGGCATACTAGAGAAACCCGGCTTCCTCTGTAGAATACGAAGAAGTGTCGTTTAAACAAGGATTCCGAAGCCCTCCGAGAAGGGAAACGCATTCACGAGCACTCGGTCGTGGAAGCATCGCAGGAATCCAAAGCTTGTAATAAGGATACGGAGTATACGGATACCGAGTTCTTGACTCCGCAAGCATGTCCTCTATGCGTGATTGCGAGTCCCGGAACTTCTCGACTGAAAACGCGGCGCGGCGCTTCTCCTGTGCGTGTCGATGGACGACTCGGTCAGGATTTGTGCATCGGGGAAAGGCCCCGCCGAGACTTGGAGCCCCTAGATAAACAGAGTGTGCCCAATCCCCTTCCCCACCGCGAAGGGCGCCTATTTACTCCACTTACGATGGGGCTGTTTGAGGGCGCTTCTTTGCCTTTCTTTCGGAATCCCATGCGAGTCCAGTTCCTCGTCTTGCTTCCAGGGCTAGAGCGGACTCCACGATGCGTAGGGGGTCATCTGATGGGGCACGGACGAACTCTGCTTCCGTCGCTCCACACAAGAGAGCAGCACCACCCGTCAAAATGGTTATGCGTGGATATCAACGGATAATCAGGATTTTTATTCGGTCTAAAGACTCGTGTGCGTGTACGTGTTTCTTATCATTCTGAGAGGGGAAACGCTAGCTGATGGCTCCAACCATCCTATTGAGGGAGAGAAGCAAGTGGATCCTTGGAAATCGATGCAAGCAAGGGTCGAAGTAAATCTCCTTGGCCACAAATAAGGTAAAGAGCACGTCTGGTCGCTAATTGATAAGAGAGGTCTCCTTTCAGATTGAGCCACTTCAGCCCCTGCGACGAAATGACTTCCCTAACCCCTAACGAAGCCAATCTCCCGCTCCAATTTCCTTGCATCGATACCTTTCTTCAACCTCTCCCTTCACCTGCGAAAGTTTTTTTTCGTTCGGCTCGACGAAACGAGGTGGAAAAAGAGCAAACTTTTCACGTGTAAACTTTCTCGGGTTCCCCCGAGAGTCTCAGGCGCCAAAACAAGGAAGGGGCGGGTGGATATATGGTCTGTGTTCACAGACTGTGCATCCATCACTGGAATAGACCTTGAATCCAGTTGAAAGGGATCGTGAAGGGCAGTTCTATGTCTTCCACAGGAGCTTGACAAATGGGTGGAGGCTGCTTTTCCAAAGTTCTGGACCAGTAATATATGAGAAAGTCGCACATCTCATCTCGCCAACTCGCCCTGAAACATCGTTTCGCCATTACTCTCTTGAAGCTGGGATCGGTCTCCGAAAAACTCTATAAGAGTTCTTACCCGATGCGCATCGTTGCCTCGTCCGAAACAGGCTCCCTCTTGTAGCGGCATTCAACCTCCTGCAACGAGAGATGGTAGGAGCCAGTTATCGACTCAAAAGAGTCAACACAGAATGATCTTATTATTATCCTTATTGCGCACCAATGCGTCTCCGGGGTTGATGGGAGAGAAGTCCTGGTAGAGTGGGACCAAATACATTTTTCCCGGCCTCTTCTCGGCTGAAGCCAGCAGAATTCTCTTCGAATCGAGTGTGCGTCGATAGACCTTCATCTGGTACCCTGATGATTCCATTCAGTTTCAATCTATCCATTCACTCAACCGCAGCCGTCCATGGCTTAGGCTGCATATACACTATATATGCATTGTATATGCGTCGCATGCATATACAAAGCATGCATATACATGCATATATATGATGCATGCAATGATGACAGTACCCTGATGATTCACACGCAATCAAGGGAGCATAATTGCATTCATCGTTTGCGGCAACTGGTTTTCATGTATTAGTTATCAAAAGAAGTACGGTGGTCAGTCACCAAATGAGACAACCTCCAATGGCAGGTCAAGTACTATTTCTGGTACAAACATTTTCCAGAAGTTCGCATGCTTGATGTGTACAGGTCACCAACACACAAGTCACCAACACCTATCAGAAGCCGTTTCGATGTTACGTCCCGCGTTTTAAAAGACTTTCAGATCCTTGTGTCAATCCATGTCACAACTCTGCAACCCCATGCCCTTGAGTCACATCATAAAGAATTTGAAAAGCAAATTCAAAATGTATTAGAAATTATTTATTAAATTGATTTTAAAGAACAATAGTTATTTTTCTTTTAGAGTTAATAATGGAAAAACCATTAGCATCCATTTTTCTAGGCTGCATTTTAATGTCTGACGAGTAATAATCACAGCATTAGCGGGAAATGACAAGAATGGAGACAAAAGCTCCCAACAACCGATGCATGCAATAAAAAATAAAATAAAATGGGGGAGTGGGGGGGAGGGGAGAGGGGGAGAGGAGAGAAGGGGGGGGGGAGGAAGTGTAGCTCGCAAGGAGAACCCTTCATTCTTCATCCGCACTTCGAAGCAAATTTTTTGCAAAACCAATCCTGCACATTATTCCAACGCAGTTGGAGGTGTCAAAGAGGAGTGACCCTTCCTCTTCCAGCAAAGTCTCTCTATCCCCCTTCCCTCCCCAAGTTTCTGGGTGCCAATGCATGCAATTTCTATGTTACATGCAAAGTATAGCAAAAAGTCCAAGTTTTTAGCTTATTTATCTCAGCTCTTACTGAAGCTATTTTCGTGACCTGTACCGTGAATAGACTGCATGCAAACTCTCTCCTCTGACACTTATCGACTCATCAGTAGCTATCAAGCCCAACGAATGAATATGAACGGAAGAGATGTTCCATGAAGCTTGGCAAAGCGTGTACTCATGGGGAACATATCAGCCTATGCACAGTGCAAGTTCTACGAAACTACCCGTAACGAGAGAAGGAATTTATTGGCTAGTCGGGACAGTTTTTTTTCCACCTCGAATTGCGAATTACGTACCTTGAGAGACCCAAGGTTGTCCGGATGGAAACCGGTCTGATGCTGCCTCAGCAGTTTTTGCACAGGAATGCAGATTGATTGCGGCAAGGGGACGGTGAGTGGAAGGAGACCCGGGCGTTCCCGAGTTATGACTACATTATCTGCATCGACGGGTCCGTTAAATAGAACTGCGAGGAGAGGGCACTCGCACGCGATTCTTGTGGCTTAGGGTGAAACGGTTGAGAGAGAATTGGGCAACGACCCCGTCCTAATGAACAATGATGGGTGTGCTTATTTCCCGTAGGATTCCAAGAAATCACCTTAGTTCCTGATGTTCCACCTGCTTCTCTCTCCGAACCAAACACAAATAAACATGCTTCCCTCACCCCATGTTCCCTGCAGTCTCTGCACCCGCAGAGTGTGAATGAAACCCCCCTCTTCAGTCTCATGTGCATGGAGGCTCGACGAGCCTCCATACCCACAAGCTATTATGGCCCTGGGACGGTTCCGCAAACGTAAGGTCAGGGAGCAGCACCAAGTGTGAGTGGATTCTTGCTCCTTGTCTATTTCCCCAATTCATGCAAATAACGCGATAATGATAATACACGTCGTGTGTGAAACAGTACTTACCATTGTAATGGGTGTGAAAGTGATAGTGGAAAGGATAAATCGTTTGAGACGATCCAGGAACTTGGCATTGACCAAGTCCAATTCCAGATAACAGGTCATCCCCTCTGGCTGCAGCCACGTCCATCGATCCCATAAACAGCTCCACACTTTTTCGACATGTCAAAACAAGATTTTCTTTACTTCGTTTATGAGAGGCTCCACATCGCAGACCAATGATGGGCAAATTCCAGTAATTGAATTTCGTTAATTTCGCTGCAGACTTGCCATCCAACTGTGATTGCCATTCTCCAATAATTTGTCATCACGAAGAAATTGTATTTTAATTCGATCACTACAATTTACCCTCATTGCTGCAGGCATAATCCTCTTTGGACGCACGGTTCTTTTTGATAGTTGATATCGACAACGACATCGTCTCTTCCCAAGTCTAAAAAAAAAAAAAGATGAGTTCAGATTAGGTCAGAAGCCAGAGATGCATGGAGGTGTGGCAGGTTTCTGTGACTTGCCTCGTTTGTTCTCGTAATGAACACTCATGACGAGATATTTGATTTTTGTGTCTCCTCCGGCCTTATATCCGATGGTTTTTACCGGGTACAAACCTTGTCTTCCGTCTCCGCCGTTGATGGCCATCGCCGAATACATGTGCCCGCCACATGGCCTTAACTTGTCGCAGTCCCTATTTCATACACACTCTCGAGAATGATTTTTGCGGACCAAAAGTCCAGACATGAAGAAAGGGAATGGAAAGAGCCTGACCAGGCCGGGAGCAGGGAAGCCGGAGAGGAGCAGCCGATGAGGCGAATGTGATGAAAGACGTCTATCGGGAAATCCGATGGGAACGACGCTTTTGCTAGAGATCCGTACAACAAAGTTTTTCTTTTCAATTCTTTCTCACTTGGTTGTCTCGAAGGGGGGCACGACTTACTCATGTAAATGGTCTCGTTTTCGGGAAGAGGTATCGAAGTGCAGAGGTGACGTTCTTTCTCCTAGTAGATGAAAATAAACTCATTTTGGGAAGAGTCACTCACATGTCAAAAACCCAAAGAAATTTTCCCATTGAAGTATTCTGGAGAAATGAGAGCCCAATTGTTGACAGAATTTACTATAAAACCCCGTTTACAGGAGTACAGGCTGAATGAATTTCTACCAAAAATGAACCATGGCAAGTGAAACATGAACTCGACTTAGGCGCCACGCCCCTTCGACGCTAACTGCATACTGGTGAATATTGAAGGCATCGTGAGCACTTTGCCGTAAATAGGGGTGGGGGATTCCTGTTTTGATTGGAAGGGTTAATCTCCGTTCCCTGAGTCGCGTTTCTTCGCGAATTAATAATGATCAGAAGTCTATTCTGTTTCTTTCATCGAGTCACCGTGTCAGGTCATTGCCTGCATTGTTTGTGTGGTCCCTCTGCATGGGTTCAATTTCTCAACGTTGAGTCTCTCTCGCTGAAAAGAGTGACATCCTCAAGTGGAAGGATGACAAGCAAGCCAGCAATTATGCCACTGTCAAGCAGATCCATGCGATGATTGTACAGCACGAAGATGGAAAAAGCAGCGTCAGATGATTTTTCAAGCAGTAGGGAATCCCTGTCTGAAACCACCCCAGAGGAAGCGACTGATAAGGCATGTCGTAAAAATACATTTCCAGTTTTAAAATGTGACTGCCTCGATCCTTGCAACTGTGTGTGCCGTTCTGAATTTAGTTTGACAGGGGTCAGCATTATCGAGATATTGTATAGATACCGTTGTTCCGTCTATTTCGAGGAAGAATTATGAAGCTTAATAGAAATAGAAATTAGCGAGATATCCATTCTACAGTGTAAAGGCCTTTCTCAGGAAAAGGCACTGAAGTCTTCTTTCAACATGGATAATGGTGGAAGTTCACTTAGTAGCACATACGCCGTTAAGGTAATTCTTCACACCCCTCCCTCGTAGACTTCAACATAATTTCAGGTTTTCAACCTGTTCTTTTCATAACAAGTATTTTTTGCCTCATGGCGTTAAGCAAAAACGTTTGCTCACATTTCCGGAGTAGTCCAAGGGAAGGCGAATTTGGAGATACTGCTCATTTTCCAGGCCCCAAATGAGGGATGCAGACGAGAAAAAATAGAAGACCCAAAGAAATGCCATGATGCTCACACTGTTCGAGTCTCTTCACCACTGCTACTCTCGTACTCCCCCGTTTGAATGAATGTACTTCTAAGCCAGTGACCGAAGTATATCCAATATCTCTTTGCCCTGGAGATTGAATGCGTAATGAATTTCCTTCCCTCTGGAACCGTTGACCCTTGTCCCAATGTCCCCTGGAAGCCCAAGACGCTTGTTTACCGCATTGCAGTCTCGCCGTTCTGTGATATTCATCTCAGATACGGTGCTGATTTCTCTTCAAGTCGAGGTCAGCATCGAAAGCAGCATGTCCATGTCTCTTTGATCCAGCGATTCACGACATGTAACGGTTCAGTTACACGTTGTGAATCGCTGGATCAAAGGGACATGGGGCTTGGGTCTCTGGCAATCGTCATTATTCTGCCGCAGCAAAAATTCAAGAAGCAGTAGAGTTCCAATAAAAGCAAAGAAGCGAAGGGAGAAGCTCTTCATTTCAAGGCAGATCTCAAAATATTTATCCATTGTTCGGGGATCCGTAATTGCAAATCGGAAGGGGGTGGCTGACAGACAACGGGAGGTAGACCGAAGTTGGACTCCGACCAGTAGTAGATGAGGAGATTGCACATTTCGTCCTCCGTCCTGGGCCTGATGAAAGAGAGGGGTAAAAAAAGATCAGCCATCTTTTGACGTAGGGAGATGTCGGCGGAAATTTAAATTATTCCATTTAAAGAACTCACCCGATTCTCAGTGGTGAGGATGTGGCTGATGTATTGTAGTGGCACACGATCTCCTGTCGTGAGGCAAGGAAGGATTGATTAATAAGAAGCCGCATTTCGGTGATATAACTGGACTTGCCATTTGCATGAAAGGCATACGAGCTATATTCGGGGAATTACGGGTCGGTCAGACTCCCGAGCATTCCGGAAAAGATCATGGAAACGCGACAAGGCATCTCATCTTAGTATTCTTCAAGAGAATCTCGCTCATCCGGGAATCCTAGCACGGCTTAGAGGAGGCAAAGAATTTGCCATACCGGTTTTCTTAGAATTTTACGATTGGATAACGGATAAGATGGATAAAAGGATTTCTGTCATCATTCAGGTCTCGGCGCAGCTTTTGATACTGTCCTTCGTCAGAGGTCACGGGATTCAAGGTAGCGCAACTGGATAAGGAACTCATTGGAGTGAAGAAAGCAGAGATTAATTAAAGATTGAGAGATGTCGAAAGAAGAGGAAGCCGCGAATGGAATACCCCAGGGCGAGGTCAATCGACCGCTTCCCTTTCTGGCTTACAATAACAATTTCTATTAAGTCCTTGCGAGTAAAGCCAGCAAATCTGTCGACAACATGAACATAGGTTTCAGGAGTCAGGAGTCAGGAGAGTTAGTGATATCAAGAGGCGATTTCGCCCATTTCGATATCACGTGTCGAGGTCGAGCGTTCCTTAATTTTAGGGTAGGCCTAACCCTCTTAAAGCTATATATTTTTGTATTTGTGTTGTGTTTTGTTTTGTTTTGTTTTTTTATTTTATTTATCCTAGTTGCTTACTGTCTAGTACCTACGTCAACATTGCCCCCCACCTTTTTGCCTGTCCATGAAAGCATCTAGTTTCTTCTTAAAGATAGTCACAGAAGGGGCAGCCACTACTTCGTCATCTAACGCATTCCACGCGTTCACCACTCTGCAAGTAAAGAATTCCTGTCTCGACCTGAGCCGCACC